GGGACACACAAATAAATACACACAAATAAAAATAGTCCCCATATTTTTCCCATATTTTCTGGGTTTTTGTCTTCCCCCCCAATTCCCATATTTTCCCATATTTTCCTGGGAATCGAGGATTAATTGTATCTGTGTGTTTTTTTCCCTCCTGAACATGGCCGCTGGAGACGTAGAAGACGAGGCGGCCGAACGAGAACATGTCCGTCGCGGCCGCCGGGGCGTGGCGGCCCGACAGGACCTCGGGCGCCGCCCACCGCAGGGTGCCGCCCATGGGGCGATCGCCTCCCTTGCCCTTGACGAGGCGGGAGAGGCCGAAGTCGAGGAGCTTTGCCTTGGGCAGCACGAGTCCCCCCTTTCCTCCTCCTCCTCCTCCTCCTCCTCCTCCTGCCTTCCTCCTCCTCCTCCTGCCCTCCTCCTCCTCCTCCTCCTCCTCCTCCTCCTCCTCCTCCTCCTCCTCCTCCTCCTCCTCCTCCTCCTCCTCCTCCTCCTCCTCCTCCTCCCCCTCCTCCTCCCTCCTCCTCCTCCTCCTCCGACGGCGACGGCACCGACGTCTGGCTCTCCGCGCGGATCTCTTGGGTCCGCGCCGGGCCTCCCTCCCCGGCGCGCGCCGCCGGGGGGGGCGCGCCTGGCGCGGCTCCAAGGGCGCCGCGCGGAGCGCCAACACTCTTCTGCTGCTGCCGGGGTTTCGTCATCGAAACCGACAGTACAACGACATCGCTGCCCTCCTCGTCGTCGTCGCTGCCCTCGTCGTCGTCGTCGTCGTCGTCGTCGTCGACGGCGGGGGCGGCGCTGCCCCTGAGGCCGGCGGCCGTGCCCCCCCCCCCCCCCCTCCTTGTGGGGGGCAGAATGGCGTGCAGGACTGAACTCTGTGCTCCCCGCCGCAGCACTCGCACAAGGACATACTAGAGCATTGTGGGTGCCACGGCAATCGGCAGCGTAACAGTCCTATCATTGAATAAGAAATGTGTGTTCAAAATGTCGGATAAGTTATCTCAACATGTTTTAAACATGTTCTTTACATGCTTGAAGCATGTTTAGCACATGTTTTAAACATCTGAAAAAGTATTTGGCAACATGCTTCCTCTCCACTGGTCCTCCTCCACATATAATACGATGTGACCTCCTCGGAGGCGTGTGTTCGACATGATGCCGAAGGGTGCAATGTCTCAAGCGCATATCAGAGAAGGCCGTGCACTGTAGGGCGTGCCCAATGCTTTTGCTGGTTGCCGTGAGCGCTGTACCGCTGGCAATAGGGTGGCCGTGACCCTCCCGGTGACCCTCCCGGCAAAGGAAAGGCCCTGACATCATCTGGTGCGTCCGGCCCGAACATATCCGCAAACCCCCGCCTGCCGGGGGTGCAGAGGCGTTCTCTCTCCCCTGGCGACGTCCAGAAAATGTCCAGCCCCCCTATGTGTATTGTTTGTTCTGGCACCGGCTCCCAAACAACTACCGAGACGCCCACAAGAGTACCCACATGGTGCCCAACAAGCCCACAACGCCTCAACCGTGGGCTCCACGCCTCGTCTGGGGGTAGGCAGAATGGCGCAAGCCTCTTGAATGATACAAGCATCTTGCAGCAGATCGTCCCCCGAGCGGAATGGCCAGACAGCGCCCGCCACGGAGCTTCTACTAGAAGATTTCTCGGCACGCGCGTGTCCCCCCCTCGGGGCGACGCGTACATAGCATTGGTATGTCGGTGTGACGCCGAAGCGACCCACTGCAGAAACAGGAACTCTCGGAGATCCGCGCGGACTTCCGAGCGTGCGTTTGTGCAGAATTATTGTGCCGTCCATCGCCTGCATCGAACAATCGCCCAGCTGCTGCACGAAGATGTTGGTGTTCTTGATGTCGCCTCCGCAATTTTGGACGCCCGAAATAGGTACGGCAAAATTTGGTACAAGACCGAGCAACCGACAGCGGCCGCTGTTGGGCGAGCGGCTTCCTGTCTTCAAAGAGCATCGTCCGCGGCGGCGCGGACAGCGAGTCCCGTTCAAAATAAACAAGAACTACTGTTGGACATGCTACACATTCGTTCCGTACCCGACTACACGCAAGAGTGACCCTGGGTAAGAGTGACCTTTGGTGCGCGGCTTTTGGGGGCCGCGGGGGGGGGCGGGGGGCCAAAGACAAGCGCGCAAGACGCCACTGCCGCCTCGCGTTCGGCGATCGGGGGACCCCATTGGGCCCGCACCAAAGGTCACTCGGGCGAAAGGTCGCTCTCAGGTCTAGTCGACGTACTCTTAGGTCGGGCATGTCCCCCTACAGGGGGATGTTGAGCGAAAAATCGGCCATAGCCAAAACAGATCCCAACACACATCGAACAAATGACCCAACAAAAATCGTCCTCCCACGATTTCTGGACTGATTCTGGATATTCCTCCCGTAGATGGACACGCCCGACTCAGGCGTACTCACTCCGATCGTCCCGAGCCACGCGCCGAGAGGCAAGGCCCCCCGGCAGGGAGGGCCTCGCCGTCTGTTGAGAGACTGACCGTCCCGGCATTCCTGTAGGCCTACCACGCAATGTCCTCAGAACCCAAAGATGTTCGAAGAACCAAAAACCCTGCTCTTAGAACATCGACCCGAGGTGATGACACAACACGGTCCCGGTCAGGAATGCTCCGAGCACGTCTCGAGGCAACCACACGAGGCTCTTAGAACGCTGTTTGGTAGGGCTATAGGCGAGCCACGAAGGCCCCAGTGCCGCCGTCCACATGCGTCCCCCACTCAGTACAGCGTTTCGGGGCCCCATATCGTATCGGGAGCGGCAAAGAGGGGGGTGTCCAAGAGGGGGGGGTGCAAATCATGACCAGCGGCATGTGCGCGGCCCAGCGGGGGGGCCGGGGACGTAATGATACAAGAAGGGGCGCCATGAAATCTGGGGAAATATCATGGCCCCCGCCATGATATCCTCCCCCCCCTGGTCATCACCCCCCTCTTTTCCGCCCCCGACCATAGGGAGCTCCACCGAAGGCCCCAGTGCCGCCGTCCACGTGCAGGCGCTTCGCCACGGCCCGCGCCCGCGGCTCCTCGGGCCCGCCGCGCGCGGTGCACACCGCGGCGTGCCCGCGTGCCGAGGGCCTGGCCCAGAGAGGGCGGAGCCCTGCCGGAGCGTCGCGCACCGGAGGGCCACTTCTGCGAGGGGGGGGGGCCCCAAAGGCCAGAAGGGGCTCAAAACAACAAGCGCCGCGCGCATTTTGGTGCCAAAAACAACGCCGTGGGTAGGGGGCTATCTCATGAACCTAGGAGAAGGCTGGTTTGCCGGACATAAATGAAACGTCTGATTCCCGGCCATTTAAGCATACCCAGGGGCCCCCCTCTGGGGGGCAGCGATGGGGGGGGATAGGCCTATAAAGGGGGGCAGATGCCTCGACTGAAGGGAAACCAGGACACACAAATGAATACACACAAATGAAAAGAGGTCCCATATTTTCATATATATATATATATATATATATATATATATATATTCTGGGTGTTTATCTTCCCCACCACTTCCCAGATTTCCCATATTTCCCATATTTTCCAATATGTCTCATCGGCCTGACCTGAGGAACGATAAATAAGGAACGAGGCCCCTTTTTAATCCCAAGGAATAACGCATAAGGAACGATACATAACAAATAACGCATAAGGAACAGTAAATAACGCATGCAAACCTAAGGAACGACCGAGCCCCTTTTGAAAAGTAGGTGTTCCTTATTCAAGCCGCTCACTGTAAAGGGGGGCAGATGCATCGACCTGGGAGCGGCGATGCATCGTCGAGACATCGGCGAGGGGCCCCCGAGAGTGAATCCGCACCCTCCTGGGCGGGGTGGTGCTATCCGGCCCCTGTCGGCGATCAGTGGGCGATTTGGGGGTCGATGCGTCCCCCCTTATGCCTATCCCCCCCTATCGTTGCCCCCGAACCTCTGGCACGGACCTGCGATGTCTCGGGCCGATCTCGGGTGACTTTGATGCGGGGCCCCCTGAGGCCCCGACCCCTTCTTGGCGGCGCGCACTTGGGGGGTAAGGGGAGGGGGGAGGGCTTCTTAGAAGGAGGCTGCTCCTTAGAAGGCGCGGGCCTCACATCTATAGGGAAGACTGGCGCCTTCTAAGAAGCAGGGGTGCTTCTGAGAAACCTTCCCCCGTCCCCCTACCCCCCTCTGCGCGTGGTCGGCTTGCCCTGGGGCCGCTCCTCATCCCGGGCAGGTTTCTTGACGGCCGCAGGAAGCCAGCAGAGGTCCCCAGGGGCCGCAACAACTATCAAACAACTTCCTCGCCATCGCCCGGAGGTCCTTGCCCCTTGCAGTTGTCGATCTCGCGCGTCTTAAAATATTTGGCAAGATGGTCCAACAAGCTCCTCGGCGGTCCTCGTTGAAAATTACGCACGCGTCCGAGCGATGCCGAAAGCTTCTGTCGTGTTTCTTTCACGGTGCGAGTGGGCGAGGGCTCCCAGAGGCCGAAAACTGTCAAAAACCGACTGTCCTGATATTTTTTGCTTCGCGGGCATGTCTAGGTACGGCAGGTTCGTGTCGTCTTCGGCGTTAGTTCCTGACAGGGCGGGGATCGTTCCGCCTTGATTGATAGGCCGTTTCTGAAACGTCAGATCGTTCAACATCGCCCGATTCTGGGTCGCTGGCGGCGTTCAACGTTGAACGCCAGCGGCGGGGTCGCCGCCGGTCGTCACGAAGCGAAACTATTGTATGTGTATCCGATCGCCGTGCACGACGACTGGCTGTCGCGAGTGGAGGTAGCACAGCGCCGCAGCAACGTGCATCAGGACTCTGATGCGCAGCGCGATAAAGCTGGGGTGCGCAAGCTCCTCCCTCTCCACGATGCGCGTCATGAACATCTTGAGGGATTCCCCCTGGCAGAGGAGCAGTAAAAACGCACGTTGTAGGTCCAATCGGGTTTCCTGGATCGGCGCTGGGCGGAGCGCGCCAGGGGCTGCTTCAGAAGCGCCTCGTGACAGGGCAACGGCGATCCTAGAAATCCGCGCAGTGTTCCAGAAGTTTGTG